TTATTGGTTCAAGTCAATCATACTATTTTAACATCTCTCTTACCTCCACATTATCTTGGCTTGGATGTGGAGCTGAAAAAGGAAGCTCTGCGTCTGTTCTTAACAATTTGCTGTGTCTGGCTTACCGGCTAATTACCAGCTAAGCAGCTGCTCTTGGTAGCTTTTCATCGAACAAGCGGGTTTTTCAATGACAGAACGAAATAAAAACATGTCCTTCTAGAAAATCTGCAAAGCACAGAAGAGGCACCCTAGAGTGCTGTAACTTCTGATCTCGACTGACCTGCTTCATCCACTTTGATCCTTAGGAAACTTAAATAAGTTGAAGCCATCCTTATGGAGGTTGAAGCAAAAAAACTGTGACATCACGCGAAGGCATAGCTGTATCACAGCTGTCCATAACAAAATCACTGCTCCAGCTCTCAGTTGTTCTCCTCTCAGTCCAATGATTAGCAGAGGGTTTTGATACAATCGTTTATGATGGCATCCTTTAAATAATTACATCGATCATCAGTATTAATGTTTTGGTCTACAAGAAAATATTAGAAAATGTCAATATGGTGTCATCAACACTTTAAAATATTCCCTCTAAGAATCATGACCGAGTTTCAAATATTACGTAAATAAAAGCAGAAATGATGATGAAGGGAAACGGATGGTGATGTTTGGGTTTGAATTGAATGGAGTCCAGCTCTGCAGCATTTACTCTGCTTGGCTCCTGTTTGGGGCTGCATGGTGGAGCGGTTTGTAGCACTGTTGGCTTCCAGCAAGAAGGTTCTGGGTTTGATTCCCTTTCTGCATGGAGTTTGCATGTTCTACCCGTTTTTTCTGGGAAGTCTGCCTTCCTCCCACAGTCCAAAAACATGACTGTTAGGTTAATCGGCTTCCCTAAATTGTCCTTAATCAACTCTGCATTTTCCGGCGACAGACTGGTGACCTGTCCAGGGGTGGATGGATGGATGGATGGATGGATGGATGATGGCTCCTATTGCAGAGTAAATGAACAGCAGGAGGTGAGTCAACCATCTAATTATCAAACTGATGAAACTAAACCTCTACTAATTGTTCATGTTGTCAGATCCTAACTTGTATAATTAGGAATTTAATTAATTTTTTTAAAGGAAAAAAAACCTCCTGATAGAAGTCTAACCAAGCAGTCAGTCATGATTTACAACTTTAATACCAACAACAGACCATGATCATGAATCAAAGTGCTGCAGCAAACCAGTAATCTTCACATACATGATTTGTCTGAGAGAGACCCAAGCAAACACTGCAGGTTGGCTTGGAAACATTTTGGCTGCTGGGATTCAGTTGGAAAATGCATTTCTCAGAAGAGCTACAGTAAAGAGTGTCTTCCTGTTTAAATGAGACCCCTGATGTCTAACAGCTTACAGCTACGTTTGGTACGTGCTCAATCTTTTAGCAAAGATGATCAAATCTGACTAATGCCAGTTAAATACTGCATTTTATACCATAAACCTGATAATAAAAGAAAGCTTAATTGCCATAACAGCTTTACAATTTTAGAATGATTTCATTCTGAGTAGTAAAACAAAAACAACTTTAGAGCAGACGTAAAACAATCATTTAACTGGACATGTAGGTAGAGCTATTTTTATAAATAGTGCTCCCAAAATGTCCAAAACTAGAATTTTGTCCACTCTGAGGACACTATGGCTTGTTTTTCAGTCTAAGGTTTGAACTCAATCACACAGCTGAGTATCTGCCTTTCAGTTCAATGGCGTAGGAAGTCATAGCAACTCACAGTACATGTCACACTGTGGAATTCATGGCTGCATGAAATTAAAATATGCACTATACACTAATATGAGTGTATTGAGCAATGAAGATGTGATTAGCAATTAATAAATGTTCATCATTTGTTTCTGTTTTGGAAAGAAACAAAGACTGTTGATAACTGGGTTTTCTATCCATCTACTGCAAAATAAAATAAAATGAGATAATCCTGTCTCCAAAACATGGCTTTTACATCACTTCACCACCAGCTACCCCAACAAAACTTTTTTACTTAATTAAAGATATGCAACATGCATATGGATGGAACAATAAAGCAATAAGTCAATAAGTTTGCGATTTGCTGTGCAGCACTCTTATTATTCATAATTTAGGACTGGAGGAATGACACAGGAATTAATCGTCAAACTGTCTCAGAACAAGGTTTGTCTCATTCGATTGGTGGTTCCCAAAGAGGGGGTGTGAGAGTAAGTGTTAAAAAACATGGTTATACTTGTATGGTGCTGATTTGGTGATTTAAGGAGATTGCAGCTTAATTCAGAACGAAATTTATTGGATATTTTAATGTTTTTTACAAATAAAAAACAGATCCATCAATCACCCCCCTTCAGTTAATAAATTGTAGCTCCACCTTTTTCTGCACTTACAGCTGCAGGTCTCTTGGGGTTTGTCTCTATCAGTTTTGAACATCAAGAGTGAATTTTTGCTCTTTGTTCCTGCAAACAGCTGGAGATCAGTGAAGTTGGATGGAGAGCGTTTACCAACAGCAGTTTTCATTCTTTCCACAGATTCAGGTCTGGACTTTGACCATGCCATTCTAACACCTGGACCTGTTATTTATGAACCATTCTATTATAGATTTTATTTTCTGTTTTGGATCGTCGTCTCTTTAGGAGATAAATCTCTGTCCCAGTCTCAGGTCTTCTTCAGACTCCAGCAGTTTTTCTTCCAGATGCAGGCCCAAACCATGATGCTGCCACCACCATGTTTATCAGTAGGGATGGTGTGTTCAGGGTCATGAGCTGTGTTGCTTTTACGTCAAACATAATGCTTTTCATTGTTTCCAAAAGTTGCATTTTGTTTTCTTCTGACCAGAGCTCTTTCTTCCACTTGTTTGCTGTGTCTCCCAGGAGGCTTGTGTCAAACTTTAAACAATACTTTTTATTGATATCTTTAAGAAATGCCTTATTTCCATAAAGGCCAGATGTGTGCAGTGAAAGACTGATAGTTATCCCATAGACAGAGTCTCCCCCTCAGCTGTACTGTAGATCTCTGCATTTCATCCAGAGTGATCATGGGCCTCTTTGCTGCATCTCTGATCAGTCTTCTCCTTGTTTGAGCTGTAAGTTTAGAGGGACGGCTGGTCTTTGTAGAAACAAAGTGGTCTGATTCTCCTTCCACTTCATATTATCGCTTATTCAGGGCTCCTTGGGATGTTTAAAGTTTGGGAAATCCTGTTGGATCCAAATCCGGCTTTAAACTTCTCTACAAAAGTATCTCAGACCTGCCTGGTGTGTTCCTTGTTCTTCATGATGCTTTCTGTGCTTTAGACAGACCTCTGAGACGATCACAGAGCATTTATACAGAGACTGGATTCCACACTGGAGGATTTTATTTATCATCATCAGTCATTTAGGGTCAACATTGGATCATTCAGAGATCCTCACTGAACTTCTGGAGAGTTTGCTGCACTAAAAAAGTAAAGGGGCCGATTCATTTTGCAAGCCGCACTCTTCAGTTGTTATTTGTTAAAAAAGTTTAAAATATCCAATAAATTTCATTCCTTTTCATGATTGTGTTCCACTTGTTGATTCTTCACAAAGAAAGACAATTTTATATCTTTACTTTTAAAGCCTGATATGTGGCAAAAGGTTGAAAAATTCAAGGGGTGCAAATACTTTAGCAAGGTTCTGCATTTGCTGCTTGTTTTACAGCTTTAACTTTTGACATTTTTGATGCTAAACTTTCGAACTAGTTAAAGTTGGAATGTCATTATATAGTGTGATGAGGTGACAATGGCGCCTTTATCTTAAAACAGTTTTCCTACGCCACTGAAATGTGCAGCTATGTAATGTGGGTATAAGTGATGCAAATCAAACTTTAATTCATATTGGATGCTGAAAAATGAATGCAGACCCTGTCTCCTTCCCTCTCAGCTGGGCTCAAGCTTAGAAAAGAAAGCAAAAATTAAGCTGAGAAAATGTAAAAATGAAGCCTCTCAGTGGCTATAGACCAAAGAGGCTGTTGAAATTAAATTCAAACAAGAAACTGGAAACAACCAAACAAAACCTCCACATATAGACACATCGGAACAAATTAAGCCGTACAATAAGATTTGTGCAACGAAACGAATGGAGTAGGGCAGAAGTATTCAAAACATTAAGAAGATCAGGAGAAAAAGATGGCACAGATAAACCAGCCCTGCTGCTTATGTTATAGTTACATTTATACCAGATGGTTTAGTTTTAAAGTCGTAGGGAATCGGCCAATCCTACGGTTGCAGTTCCGAGTGGTGCACGACTTTACACGAGTGAATAAAGTGAAAGTGATTGGTGGATTATCAAGGGGGCGGGATTGTTGTGGCGGAAGCTTCGCAAGCAAGTTTGGTTGTGGCCGGTTCCTCTGAAGCATCTTGCTAACAGTTAGCAACTTAGTGCTAGTAGGTTCCCAGTGGGAAATTCCATTGGGACCAAGTAGCACTAAATTGGTGACTTAGAAACGACACTGTCAAGGAACGCTATGGACAGAGGAAACATGCAAGAGGAGGAGAGTTTAGTGTCAGAGGTCGTGGATGAGTCTCCTCCATCATACATTTTTTATTTAGAGGAGGAAAGCGGGGATGAAGATGTTGTGGAAGAGGACGCCAGGGCGGCAGAAGCTTGGTTTGGTGTAGAAGGCTTCCAGCCGTACATGTTTGAGCCCTTGCCTCGCAACGCTGCCAGTTCTGTTAGCTCTACGCCTGCTGAAGACACAGACGTCCATCCCCGTGAACACTGGGACGGAACTCAATGGGAAAGGAAATCATTCTTATTTCTTATTTCAGCCGTTGCGTATATTAGCTGTGACATATGAATCAAGATTCTATGATGAAAAAATTAGATTGACAGATGACTGTTGATATATGATTGGCTGAATTTAAACAGATTTTAAGACAGGATTTTTTTTTTAAATAGAAATTTTCAAACTTTTGGGACAATATCGTGATAAGAGTACATTTATAATACATGTTTAATCCAGAATGATTTGATATTTAAATATGATTTCCCTACGACTTTAACTGGATCGAGAATGATCTTTTAACACTAAAACAAACAAACTAAAAACAAAACAACTCTCTCAAACCTTTGTTTTCTTGTTACAAAACACAACCCTATGAGTTACTGCAACATTAAATTCCCCTTTGGGGTAATAAAGTAAACTTGAATTGAATTAAATTGAATGCTTATAGATATTTCTAACTCCTGATTATTCCATTGAACATTGTTGGGCTGATAATCTATAAATAGAAATTAAACAACTTTATCATTAACTGACCAGGTGTTCCTCACAATACTTCTGATGAAGTAGTCAAATATCAATCCAAACACTTAAGAACTATGATCACTTATGCAGAACTTCACAAAGATTCAAGATTAGCAAAAACTATTTTTCAATCGAAACAATAACTAATGCACAGCCCATGTACTGCACAAGACTCCACTGCTGAAGGAAAACCAACTAAAGCGAGAAAGAGAACGTAGTCTGGTAAAGAGACTGAACCCTTTGGATGCGATCGTGTATAACATCCTGTAACAGAACCTCTTAGAACCTGCAGGATTCAGAGCTAGTCCACAGGGGAGAAAATGTCCAAATCCTACCTGAGCAATGAGACTTTGCGGGGGTGATTTACTTTGCACCCGTCTGAATTTCATGTCAGTTGCTCTTTAAAAAAAACTATTTACTGAGACAAATGTGTTATTTTCAGAAGTTTTCTCCCGCTGCCTTAAACTCTTTAACTTTCCCAACTTCTGAGACAATGGCATCATTCGTTTGTGATGCAATCATCCAGTCTTCTTTTAAAACATACATAATATAAAATGACCCTGTCAGGATTTCACTACATCCAGCTTCAACATCTTTTTCTGATTTTTAAACATAAACATGAACAGTAAGATACGCCATGTTGCAGAAAAACAGTGAAGCATAATTTGTGTTCTCCCATCAGATTTCTATGACATGAACAACCTGCTTTGGTTGGTTACGATTGGTGCTTTCACTGTTTTTGTTTTGCATATTGTACAGTAATAAATCTACTAAAGGCCAGAAACCGCACTTTCTTTTTTTACATCCAACTCTCCCGGGAATTACTGCAAGTGCAAAGTGAAAGCTCAGCGAATATGTTAACAACTGCTTTTCTCCTTTAATTAAAAGGCGGCACCTGCTTTAATTAACTGCTGAAAATATATATTTATTTAATATAGAAACTCTTTTCTTTTTTCTTTTATCAAACAAAAATAAATGTTTTCTAAATAAATCAAATGAGAGAAATAAAAGTTCTGATAGACGGGATGAGGTTATAATTTAAGATGTAATGTGAACTCAGTCAAAGTGGATTCAGCTTCCAGGAATATTTTTAATCAGCCGACGGTTTCTACCAGCTCAGGATCCTGCTCATCAGGCTGAAGGTAAATGTGAAGCTGCTGAAGTTGCTCTACTGTGTTTCTGGTGAACTCTGCAGGCATCAGAGTGGATTTACCCTCATCTTTATCCTGTTGGAGATCAAACCAACCCTTCATGGCGACGTTGCTTTTCTCCGTCTCCCATCGGCGTTTCAAAGCCTGTGGTTAAGAAATCAAATTTCCTCTCTGCCTTAATGTTCCCGATCCCTTCGCCTCACCGGCACTGCAAACAGAGGAAGGGTCCTTGATGGCGATGACAGCTCGGGGTCAGAGTTCGTTGATAGGAGGTCCCCGGGCTTGTTCCTGCGGCGGTCTGAACTGGTGATAGACAAGTCCTGGCAAACCTCGTAGGAACACTTCCTCTTCTGGAGCGCCTCGGCTCTCACAGCCAGGGAGCGCGCGCACACCGTCAGGAGCACAATGAGTGTGCCCAGAAGGAGGGACACCATTGGCCAGAGGACGCAGTGCAGGAGGACGCTGGTGTCATTGGAATGCTGCCACAACACGTCGTCGGGCCTAAAACGAGACAAACAGGAAATGAATCGTAGGATTGACGAGGTAGTGACACCGCTGTGATTGTTTCATCCTTTAGCGTCATCATCGGGTGTGATGGCGCCGCGTGTATGGAGTCGTTATTCCTCCAAACAGAGGTTCCAACCTATGCATGTCTGCCTCTTCATCATCATCAAAACCCCAGTCTATTGAATATCAAATAAAATCTACGAGTACCAGAAAACTAAAAAAATGAAATGAAACACTGCATTAAGGGGAGTTTTTACTCTGCACACAATAGAAAAGAAATGAAAAATAAAACTATGTATGAGCAAAAAGCTATTATGATTTATTTTTAATTAAAAAAAGAGAGAGACAAACAGATGTTTTAGATTTCCCTTCCATGTAGTTCAGGATCTAGAACCAGCTCTTAACTGGTTCTATCAAAAACATACAGAAAACCACTGGTTTCTGAACAGTAAGATTCTAATGGGCTGCATGGTGCTGCGGGCCAAGGCCCGAGGTCTTTCTGTATGGGCACCTCTAGATTGTTTCAGGGCACTCCAGCTCCCAGATCATTTAGGTTAACAGGGTTCAATAAATGACCCTTAAACTGTGAATGTGTAGAATAAACAAATAAACATTCACAGCTAAATGGTAATTTAAACCATGTTAAACCCCTGACGACATCTATGAGGGTCAATTAAACTTTTACTAACAGATATACGATTTATTTTTACATTATTCTTTCACGAAAATAAGACAGATGTATTAAATAGAAATTTAAAAAAACTTATGTAATATTTTGTGAATGGAAATAAAAAAAACAACAATGCAATCCAGAAATAAAACTGAAAATGTAATAATAATAAAAAAGGTTTCTTGATTAACACTTTGCTGTTTACTTAGAATTTAATTTTCTAATTTCTTTTCGAAAATGTGTTTGATATTTAATTTATTTTCAAATTCTAATAAACTTTTTTACTTGTTTTTTTTAATGCTTTGAATTCTTTTAGTTTTTTAAATTTCTGTTTTACAGACTAAGATTTAAGAATTACATTTTTCTTTTAAGTTGCGTCACATCGAACAAATGTTGCTAACGTCCAGCAGACCAATAGAAATGCATCTTTGCTCCACTGCAGAGGAAAGCCCGCCCCCAGAAGGGAGGAGACTGTGATCTGGGAAAACCTATTTAAAAAGTATGCACTTCATAAAACTCAATATGCTAAACAAACAGTTGAAGAATACAATTTAACATGCTGCTACAAAAAAAATCCTTAGAGAATAAAATCTGAGAAAACAGCAAAGAGTTTCTCAAAAAGTTTTTTTTCATATAGGCATTTTTTTTTTTAAAGTTTCATTTCTGTATTACATTCTTTTTTCTAATTCCCATTTAAAAAATGTCTTCTTTGCAACAAAAATAGAACAACACTTCATACATATATATCTAGCACCAACAGAGGTTCAATATCCTTAAGGTATTTTTTAGTATTTTTGAACTTAGGTCCAGTTAAGAAGAAACAGCACCACCTCCTTTGGTCCAACATGATTAATCCCCAAAGGTCCAATCAAAGAAATAATCTAATGAGCAAAAGGTGAAGCTAATTTCTATAATATAACTCTAGCAGCATGCCTCACCTCAGCCGGTTACCACGGTAATGAGTCGTGCCTCTAAGAAAAGGTCAGAAATATTAATAATGTTCTCCTTTCACAGTAACTGGATTCAGTTATTGTTCAGAACTGTTTATGAGATCCAAACCACTGCAAGAAAACGTATCTCCAACTCTGTGCACAGAAGAACATGTTTCTTTTCCAGCTGTTGCAACCTTTCAGACCATTTCTGGAACGTTTACTGTGCTGCAGCAGGCAGACATATCAGCTACGAACACTGCGGCTCTCAAAGCAGGAAGAGAGTAAAGTAGAGTAAAAAGGCTCAGTTAAGGAAAAACTAAGGAAGTTTGTCAGCAGTAGAGGCTGAATCTAAATTTGACTTAATGACAGTAACAGAACAGAGCTGCTCTGTTGATGGGCAGAAATCTAGTTTGCATTAGTTTATAGATTTTTAGTTCAGAATTTCTCACTAATAATTATTTCCTAATGCATCACATTCCAGCGACACCATTCTCCACGTCTCTAATCTACAGTGACTGAATCAAAAATCTGACATGAACAGTTTAATTCAGGGGTCTTCAATGTTTTCCAGGCCAAGGACCCCCAAAACTGATGATGCAGGGACCCCCTAATTCTATATATTGTATGAAATAGTGTTCTATCAAACTGGTCCCATAGTCCCTCTATTACAGATGGAGTAATGTAACGAAAGTAATTTCTCCATGGGATTATTAAAGTATTTCTGATTCCTGGTTGATGGGTCAGGTGTTGTGAATGAAACGGTGCCCAGCTTGAAAGAGCTCCTGTGTGTCGCTGAATGTGAGCATTGATGACTGAAAGACATCTTCTGCCTCCATTTATCTGTTTACTACAGTGTGTTGAATTCATATTAATCTATATTTAAACACATTTCAATTAGTGGAAAAAAATGCAGCGGGGAATATACGGTACTGTAAAAAAAAGTCTAATCAACCAAAACTTTCACGACCCCCATGCAGTACCTCTGAGGACCCCCTAGGGGTCGCAGACCCCCTGTTGAGACCTCTGGTTTAATTAATAAAGCATAGCTGGATAATCTTCAATCTATTCATATTTATAAACAACTTGAAATCTAAAGCTCCAAATGTACCAGACGTTAGTTAGTTGCAAAGTATAGCGATGTCCCGATCTGATATTAATATCAGATATTGGTCCCATATTAGCCCAAAAAATGATATCGGATTTTATCGGCTGACAACTAAATCTCCTATATTTACATGCTGAAACAAACTTCCATAAACGATTCATTAACTCACTGGTTCATTTTACATGCGTCAGTTGTTTTCATACCTTTTGTAGTTGACCTTTGTTTCCTGTTTTAGAGATATAACTTGATCAAGACTTTTCTAACATTCTACAATATAAAACAAGCTATAAAAGCCGATACGATTTGTGCTATCGGGTCAATATTGGTATCAGCCAATTCTCAAAGCTGCAATATATCAATCTTATTAGATATGAAAAAGTTGTATCAGGGCAGCCCTGGCAAAATATTCTCACAGCTATGGATGCATCCCAATTCAGGGGATTTTTTTTTATAAAACTTGCTCAGAAAAGCCTGACTTGGTTTTAACTTAAACTGGGATCTAAGGCTGTGATTAGTGGGTTTCAACAAGAGGACGTCTAGCTTGCATTTCAGGAGTAGAAAGCTATCAAAACTAAATTAAATAATAAAGGGAAAACCTGTTACCATCAATTAAACCGAGAAAAGGGGATGGCAAGTCATTGCTGAGGGATTAAAAGTGTTCATTCTTAAATTTTTCATCAGGAACATTGTCTCCAGAGCCATATTTAAAATAAATGTGATATTTACTACTTTCATTTGAACTTAATGTCAGCCTCTAACTGAAAGAAACAAACAGAAGGGCTTTTTCGTAAAGATCAAGTCAAAGGAGATCTTACTCTTAGTTTTAGATTCAGTCAGATTTAAGTCAGTAAGAATATTGCTTGGAGTGAAAAATGACAAAGCATTGCAGTCGACAGACTTAACACATTTCCCCACATTTAACTCTTTCAGTAACACCAGTGGTGAGATACACACATTTTAACAGGTGCAAACTAAGAACAAAAACCTCCCCCAGAAGGGTAGCCCTGATGGATCACACTATCTTTTTATCAACAAAAAGATCCTGAGCAAAAAAAAACAACAAACCAACATATTTTATACATATTATTTATAAACTCCATTACTGTGTAGGAAAATATATAAAGTACAAAAAAATTGTGTGTAATATTTTACTGCAGGAAATGAAATTTTTTTGGTACTTTATAACATGCTGCCATATCTGGCTCCATTTGAGAAAAAAGCTGATGCCCTTTCAGTCATTTACAGCGCCCTCAGTAGCTGGATTTAACAAAGACAGTTTACGCTTAGTCAGCTCTAAACGGCTGGTTATCCTCCCTGCAGCAGTGCATCGCAGGGGGCTTTTCGCAGATATTTTTGATTTATGCCCAATATTAAGGCGTTGTCTGTGCTATATTATTCCACGCCACAACGCAAGAGGGACGATCAGGAACTAGCTGTGGGTCTAGATAAGGCTGAGGGGGTGAGGAAGTGGGGGCAAGTTTGTGCGACAACGGAGGGACATGACATCAAGGTGAAAAAAGCGTTCTCGCTCTTCTAGCTGTTCCATCTTCACAAGTCATTTTCCACAATGGTGGTCATACAAACAAAACAAGCCGGTAAGGCACCAAACAGGAAATACGCATAGTGTAGAGCGGACATAGATTTGACCAATCAGAGGCCTCCTGTCTGCGGTCACCTACAATTTTAGAGAGGTGCAGCAGAGTGACTGCGGAGGGGGCGGGGCATATCTGCATTCACCGAAGTCAGCCTTAAACCCGGTCCCGCCCAGGCTCAGTTTACTGGGTCAATGCCATAATAACTGAGTCAGACTCACAGCAAGACAGTATAATTAAACCCTTATGCACAAAATAAGCCAGGCTTTGCCGCCTAAGCCTGACTTCTGAACTAAATCAGTTTTATGAAACACTCTTCAGGTCCTTCAAAGACAGCATCAACAATGAAGGAATTTGGACGGTCCAACTCACGGCATCCATCCCTACCCTCATCTCAGCATAATTCAGCCGCCTAGCAACTGTGGCAGTACACAGGAAAAATCTGCACTGATCTCTTGAAGATCATCTACCTCTAAAATGGTTATTAAAATTATCAGTTATATATTCTTGTTTTTTTACCTAAAGCCCTGTCTCTTCACCATCTGATTAGAAATCTTAGCGTGTTAGCTTGTCACTACTATGCGGAACTGCTGACTGATTTGAAACTGGATGTTGTTTTCCTGTTTTTTGCTCCGAACAAGAGATGAAATTAGAACTTAAGGCACGACATATCATAAATTTGGGCGTTGAACACG